TCCCCAAATTCCCAAATTCTTCCAAATCATTACATCATCCCTTGGGGCGGGTCCCAACTCCCTTTACAAATCTCTCCACCTTTCTTCTTGGCCTCAGTTCTTCTCGACTAGGACGACCTCATCAACCTCGCCACGCCAGCTACAATTACGGCTAATCCTAACCGTGGACTTGACAGACTCGACTCGGCTCTTCATCTCCTCGAAAGGATTATTCCCCTTCGGAGTCCTGCTGTTGAATCTCCTGCTCAGCAGGCCACTTTGTCGCCAGAACCCAAGCATCGCGCCTTGTATATTATTGCTCTTGTCTGCTTGCAGTAAGCAAGACATAAATTTGTTATTTATCTGGCCCTTCAGTCTATGCACCACGCCACACAGCGATCCACACACGTAAAACAACCCCATCACATAAAATTTTTACTCAAGTATGCAAATGAAGGCTGAAACTTCGCTGGGATATTCTATTTTCAAGTGCGGCCTTAATTCTGCTTGGAAGTGAATTCCTTGCAGGTGGGCACGAGAAATAATCAACTTTACCGAAAAAAACAGAAACGAGTGCGTTTTGCAGCGAACGACCGCCCTTATTCGAAGCGAAATATCCACTTCGCTACAAATATTTTTGAAGTGCCTTAAATCGTGGCACAAGTGCAAATCGGTATTAATTTTAGGTATTCTGTTTCCTATATGGGCGACAGATATGCTGACAAAATTTCAGCCGCTGTTTCCCGGCAAGTTTCCGAGTTAGCATAGTATCAGGTTGCAAACCTTGACGTGGTCGTATGCGCTTCACAAGTGTGCGCGACAGCTGAATTTAAAATCTTTAGCTCATACATGCGCAAAGAATATCTCTGCAAAGTTTCAGCTTTGTACCTTGCCTGGTTCGCGAAATCGTTTCCTGCCAAGGGAACTTGCATGTTTTTTTTAGGGAAGGGGACGTACGCAGGGTCTAGGCGCGCGTGGGGGAAGGTTTTAAAACCGAAGGGTGACACACCGAAAATTTCAGCTTCCCAGCTTTCCTGGTTGCTGAGATGAATGTGGGTGACATTCGCTTTCAGACATACACAAACACACACAGACGATCTCTCGACAAAATGCGTTTTTACTGGCAGTAGCAGTGCAATAGCGCTGCACAGCAAAAACGCTTAAAAATGAACGTTTTTATAAGATGAAGCTTCCGATATCTGGCTATGCATCAGTTAGCTTAGAGCAGAAAATGAATAACTACCTGTAAATCTTGCTTCCATGGTAATAAATTTCGTTCGCTTTCAGGAACATCACCTCGTGCTGGTACATACGTCGTTTTGATCGGTTGTCCGGATTCGTCACATTCTACCCATATTACCTTATAGTCCTTTCTTGGCACTGGAAATTCAGTCCGCATATTGGTATTGAAAAATCTAGTCCAAGAATTAGGATTTTCCTTTGCAACTAATATCTTAAAAATTCTCAATCCATTAAAAATTAATAAACTTTGAATATCTCTTATAACAAGATTTATCATAATTTCTAGCAGTAGAGCTTTAATTTTCAAAATAAGGAAGAATTTTCAGATATGAACAGATTGTGAGGAGACGGCAAGAACGAAAAAGGCTTATGGGAACGGACAGCAATAGGTATCCTCGCCTTTTAGTTAAGTGATTATCAGACTTGCGTTTTTTGTTAAAAATTATAAACATATTTTTTGGTGTTAACATTTCCACATTTAGTAGTTCTTCACAAAGTTAATAGTTATTACAAAAATTTTCGCAAAAAGTAATAGAGAATTTTCCATTTCGTGTGCACTGACTTCAGCTCAGTCTTAAAATTCAGGAAAACCTTTAACATTAAGTCGTCTGGATCCAATTGCTTGTCCTGCATTACTTTTTGCAACACAATGGTAGAAACCCTCATCTTCCGGCGTAACTTTCTTGATTTGCAGTGCAGTCCCATAAATCTGATATTCTGAAACAATACGAAATGGAACTATTTACTGTTTAATCCAAATTTCCTTGAAGTGGAAATTCATGAGAAACTAAACGAATGATTAAAGTCTTACTCTCTTCACTGCCAGTGATATCGATATTGGGCATTTTCACCCAAGCAACTACAGGTTCCGGTATTCCAGTTGTATTACATGTCAATGTTACGGTTTCATCGATATTTGCTGTCATATTCAGCCGTTCCGGATGGATTTCCGGAGGAACTGCAATAGGCTTAGTGCACATTGTCTCTATCATTCTGTCATTCTACATGTTTTATGTCATTTTTGTTAAAAAATGTTTAAATTCTAGATGTTATCATAACTAATTTAGACGGACAAATGACATTCAGCCAGACTGGGTTTAAAAATTCGTAAAAGAAGCGAAAAATTCACAAAAAGGCAGAAAAAACAGTGAATAATGCAGTAAATTTCCACATTTTGCTTTCAAAGAGAAAATTAATACCACTGGAAAATGGAGAATAAACGGGTCTAAGCTAAAAGGAAACAGCGATCTAGCTTATTAGTACGACTTTCACAGACTGTCTTCATCGCAGTCTGGGAGTGGCAAAATCTGATGCAAGGTGGTGATGCTTAACAAGCATCAAGGATATCTCAAAACGGAATAATTGGCCAACGCACGGGCTGCCCGTACGAAGATGCGTTTTTTGCAGAGTTCCCCGCAGTTTT